AGGACTTGGAGGTTGAGGTGTAAGGAATGGGCTTAAAGATGCCATTTGGAGAAATGCTAGAGAGTTGGAGGAGATGGGCTTATAGATGCCATCCCTAGGTGATTGTTAACAGAAATTAGACTAAGTCTAAACTTGACTTCAACTGGGGAAAAAATCAGAATAGACCTTAGGTCGATTTAAAACTGAACCCAGTAGAAATCTTGAATAATCTTTAACTGGGAAGAATCAAGATAAATCTTTAGAGTGACCTATCTGAACCAGAGAAATTATATGCAGGAAAGAATCAAGATAAATCATTGAGAGGTTTAAACTGGACCAAAAGAGGTCTTGATATTCTTTAACTGAAGAGAATCAGAATAAATCTTGGAGAGATTTATTTGAACCAGAGAAAGTGTTTACTGGGGAAGAATCAGGATAAACCGTTGAGAGATTTAAACTGAACCAGTAGAGGTCTGGAAAAGAATCAGAGTAAATCTTGGAGCGACTTATCTAAACCAGAGAAGATGTCTGCAGGGAAGAATCATGATAAACCGTTGAGAGATTTAAAGTGAACCAGCAGGGGTCTGGAAAAGAATCAGAATAAATCATGGGGAGATTTATATGAACCAGAGAAAATGTATGCGGGAAAGAATCAGGATAAACCGTTAAGATATTTAAACTGAACCGATAGGGGTATGGAAAAGAATCAGCATAAATCTTGGAGCGATTCATCTGAACCTGAGAAAATGTCTATGAGAAAGAATCAGGATAAACCGTTGAAAGATTTAAACTGAACCGGCAGGGGTCTGGAAAAGAATCAACATAAATCTTGGAGCGATTTATCTGAACCAGAGAAAATGTCCGCGGGAAAGAATCAGGATAAATCGTTGAGAGATTTAAACTGAACCGACAGGGGTCTGGAAAAGAATTAGCATAAATCTTGGAGCGATTTATCTAAACCAGAGAAAATGTCTGAAGGAAGTAATTGTCATGTAGATAGTCACCCCGTCCTGTTTCAGGCATTGATCTACAATTAATTTGTTCATAGATATTTTCCTTGTCTTGTTGAAAATTTGATAATAATGTTCTGGTGATTGTTTTTTCCTGAAAAAGGTAAAGCGTTAGTTGTATGTGATGCCATGATGCGTGAAATTCATAGTGCAATGAGATCATGATGTATGCATTTGTTTCATTGATGTTTATGATGTATGGATGTGATGTATGTGCATGTAAGCTGTTCTGCTGCAGTGTTGTTGGATTAGGCAAAATAAATCCCTGACTGCTGCTGGGGATGTGGGGTGCGAGTCTTCATGTTTGTTGAAGTTGAAGTGTTGAAGGATGGGTTTCCATAATCAGAGAAATAAACTCTGTTGGGGAAGAGAAACGTTGTGCATTTCCTGTGGGCTTTATGAAATTCTGTTGGGGAATCTTGAGAAGTCCTGCGACATTTGTTGGGGAATCTTGAGAAGTCCTGCGACATTTATTGGGGAATTTTTGGAACGGTAATTGGGAGTTTTGCTCTGTCGGGGATATGAAGGAAATAGGCACCAACAGGCTACATGTTGGGGATATGACAATGATCCTGTAACAGGATGTTCTTGCTTCTGCTCTGTTGGAGAGAGTACCTGCGAGGGTTTTGTGGAATGGCCCACAAATATTGTCCTATTTCTTAAAGCCATTAGTAATTGTCTTTCTGTTTAGTTTCCCCTTTTTTAGGTGTTCATTTATAAACAGTAATTACGTTCAAATGTATATGTTCAAAAATAAATACTGGATGTTTTTTGCACACAAAACCGAAATAATGAAAGAGAGACATATAGTTTTGCACTTTCAAAGGAATATCTTTGTATTGACTTGAATAAGTATTTTTGTACAACGGGACGAGTATCCTAGTAAGAGAATATCGTTGTAAAAATGAAAACTGAGACAAATAAAAAGATAGCTATGTGAAATAATCCCATGGTGTTCCCAGTCTTCTATAGCCTTCAAGTCTCTGAGCGTCTCATCCACTTGCTGCTTTGTCTGAAGCTGATTGGATTGATTAGAACCATTTGAGCTTGACGGTTGATGTCGTAGATTGGCTGTAAGATGATCCAACGGGACATAGTCATACGCTTTAAATCCCTAACTTTTGCATGGACCGCCCTTTCGGGTTTTCAGTCCACTAGGATACCCTTTTTTGCCCAAGCTGCCCTTTCAGGTTTTCAGCTTGTCGGGTGTACATATTTTTTGTATTTTATCCCTAATTTTTGACCGAACCCTTTTAGTTCACCGGGATTCCCTAATATTTTCCTAGGCCAGTCGACCTAGCGAGTCTTTTTTTATGCGTAGTATCTTTTAACTATGTCCGCGTTTACACGGTGCGGAAGATCGTCACCATCCATATTGGTTAATATCATTGCCCCACCAGAAAATAGGTTTTTTTTTATCACAAATGGTCCTTCGTATGTAGAAGTCCATTTTCCCCTGGGATCACTTTGTGGCAATATGATACGTTTGATCACCAAGTCACCAACCTGATATACCTGACATCTGACTTTCTTGTTAAAAGCTTTAATCATACATTTTTGGTACATCTGACCATGGTAAACAACTCAAGTTCAGTTGGTCAAGTCATGTTTGAATCCATTCATCTTCATTCAAACCTTCATCTTTTACGATTCTCAAAGAAGGTATTTGGACTTCAATTGATAGGACAACTTCCATGCCGTATACCAAAGAGAAAGGAGTTGCCCCTGTTGATGTACGCGCCATGGTATGGTAACTGTGGAGAGAAAATGGTAACATCTCATGCCAGTCCTTATAAGTCACAACCATTTTTTATATGATCTTCTTGATGTTTTTATTAGCGGCCTCTACAACGACATTCATCTTCGGCCGGTAAGGGGAGGAGTTATGTTGCTGGATCTTGAATTGCACGCATAATGCCGTAATCATAGTATTATTGAGATTGGTACCATTATCTATGATGATTCTCTCTAGGATACCATACTTACAGATAAGGTTCTGTTTGATAAATCAGGCCACAACATTCTTTGTGACAGAAGCGAAGGAAGCTGCCTCAACCCACTTCGTGAAGTAATCAATGGCAACCAAGATGAAGCGGTGTCCATTAGAAGTTGTAGGTTTGATTTCTCCAATCATGTCAATTCCCCACATCGCGAAGGGCCAAGGAGCGGTCAGGACGTTTAGAGGAACTGGATGCACATGTACCTTGTCAGCATAGATTTGACACTTGTGACAGGTTCGTGAATGTTGATGACAATCTGCCTCCATGGTGGACCAGTAGTATCCTGCTTGTAGGATCTTTTTAGACATCGTGTGCCCACTAGAATGGGTGCCAAAAGTGCCTTCGTGTAAATCATCTATGATCTTGTCTGCCTCACTCTTGTCTATGCACCAAAGCAAAGTAGAGTCGTGGTTGCGCTTGTAGAGAATCCCATTACTGAGGAAGAACTTAGCAGAGAATCTTCTCAGGAATTTATTGTCGTTGACTGAAGCTCCTTCCGGATACTCTTGGGCTTCGAGATATCTCTTAATTTCATGGAACCAAGGTTTGGCCACTACTTCTTTGGTATCAATCTCGTGATAGTAAGCTGGTTCATCCATCCTCTTAATGGTGATCTGAGGAGCCTCGTTATCCCACATGATTTTAAACATGGATGACATAGTTGCTAGTGCATCTGCTAGTCGATTTTCCTCTCGTGGAAAATGCTCAAAGGTAATTTCCTCAAAATGTGGGATTAATGTCAACACATGTTCTTTGTAGGGGATGAGATTAGGGTGCTTTGTGTTCTATTCTCCTTTGATCTGACTGATGACTAAGGCTGAATCTCCAAATACGCTTAAGGACTTGATCCCCAAATTTATGGCAGCCTTGAGACCAATAATACACGCTTCATATTCCGCCATATTATTGGTACAATTGAAACACAATCTAGCAATGAAGGTAGTATCTCATCCTTCAGGGGATATGATCATAGCACCTATGCCGTTGCCGAGTGCGTTGGAAGCTCACTACAAGAAAAAAAGAGATTTACGACACATAAATTGCGACAGTTCCCACAAAACCGTCCTTATTCCTGAATTGCGACAGTTGTCACGACGGTTAGGATCAACCGTCGTAGATTTTCAAGCATTATTCCTGAATTGCGACAGTTGTCACGACGGTTAGGCTACTTTTTTTTATTCTTTTACTTTCCCACTTTTTTTCAGCAACACAATATCATAATATCAACACAATATCATAATATTTTCAGCAACTAATATTTATTATTAAATTATAAACAAAATACAACAAATAAAAATATAAAAAAACAAAATAGGAGTAACAAATAAAATTGAAAGAGGATTAGGTTTTGTGAAAGAGCTTTTTATCCGATTGAAGCAAAGAACCACCGCCGGAAGTACGATGTTGCGCCTAGAATGGTGAAGCTTCCATTCTTCGATTCGACTCAATCTTCTTCATCTTCTGCGCGATCTTTGTATCATCCGAATATCAAGGTATATAAATTATTGATTCAATCTTCTTCTACTTCTTTTCAATTTTCTTTCGATTTTACCGTGGTGATGTGTTTCGGTTGAAGTTGCAGAATCAGTTGCATTGATGAAGATGATGAACGAATGAAGTTATTGATTCAGTGAAGATGCATTGAGGACGATTGAAAAACGGAAGGTGATGATGCTGTTTTGAGATAACCAGAAGGTGAGTTTTTCTTTCTTTCTGTGAATCTCCTTCTGAGTTTTTTGTGTGATTTTCTGATTGAATGAATCGTGAGCCAAGTGAGAGAGTGAAAGTTTTGTATGATGTAAAGGACTTGTGATGATAATGGTTTTGTAATGCTTGTGAACAACTTGTAATGAACATGAATGAACTTTATTTTGATGGAATTAACTTGGAACTTGAATGATTTCAATGATGAATTATGTCATATTGAATGAACCACAATCAAACTTGAGTCCCTTATGCTTGATGCTTAAAACCAATACATGAACACGAACTCTTAAAGTTGATTCGAAACATGAGTCAAGGACTTGAAGTAAACAAGTCACCTAGCTTTAAAGTGACCTTGAAGTACATGGCCACTTTAATGCAATGATTAAGTGGTGAACGTGATGAATAAGGTAGAGATGAATATGAGATGGTGAAGGACATAAAGAAGTGACTTAGCCCTGAGGTGGCCTTCATATCTCTAATCGAGGTTCCCCCCAAACTTGACAAAAGGGATAATTTGTAATGTATCTGTAAAATAGTCTTGCTTTACTTGCTGTTAAATATTTTGACTTCTCATTCCTCCTGCCTATTTCTTCCGTCTAATATAGACTATAAGTGGAATCATCCTTCAGTACAATATTGCTGAGGTGTCTCTAATTATTCCTTTTAATTAGTCTATCCTGTAGTTATGATTGTCTTGTTACAGATTAGCTGAAGCACTTGATATGCAGCCTCCTGTAATGCCAGAGGATGGCCACACAACACGGCTTACTAGTGGCGAAGAGACGGTTTCTTCTGCTTCTGGGAAAGATTCTTCTGTTGAACCCGTATGGGATGATGAAGACACAAGGGCTTTTTATGAATGTTTTCCAGATCTTAGGTATGTATTTCCAAGAACCTCTTTATTTATCAAATTGCTAATGGGCCCTCCATATATAAATCCATATTTTAGTCCTTGGTCACCACTGTGTTCTTACATGTTTAAAACTTTGATGTAAACGTCAATGACTTAAAAATTTCTTTAGTTTGTTTTCCCCTGTTTTATTTTTGATGAAACTTTATCCTGGTTGGCTTTTCTCCAGAGCTTTTGTTCCTGCTGTGCTTTTGGGAGAAACAGAGCCAAAAGTCAATGAGCAATCTGTGAAGAGTCAAGACCAACCAACTGTAAGAAATCACATTGGCAATTTTTTAAAACCTATTTTAGGATCTTCTTTTTATTGTCTTTTCATGCATTTTAATTTCTCCCCCTATTTGATGAAGGTAAAAACTTATGCGTATCCAACTCTTAGAATTTAGGTCTTTGAAACTCAGTAGTGTACTGTTTTCGTTATTAGTGTGACCCGGTTTAGTTTTAATTTCCATTACGTTAGTCTTTAGCTGTTTTCCTATACAATCTAAAGATTTGATACTAATATTATCTATTGGACCTCTACCAAGATGCTTAACCATCGAGGAAAGTTGATCTTAAGCAAAAATAGATTGATTCTTCATATATATATATATATATATATATATATATATATATATATATATATATATATATATATATATATATATATATATATATATATATATATATATATATATATATATATATATATATATATATATATATATATATATATATATATATATATATATATATATATATATATATATATATATATATATAGCTTGAAACTAGCAATAGTTTCAACAATATGAATTCCGTCATTCATAAAATGTTGATAAATTATGTGTTGTTTCATGTTTCTTCCTGTACTTCTTTGTTTTGGAACATGTACTTCTCATTCCTTAAGAACTTTTTCTAAATTTTAGCAACTTAAGCTGCCATTGCATGATTCTTCGTTAAAGAATAATATGAAGCTTTTTCTGACAGAGAACCATCTTCTTGGGTTCTTTTTCCTTTTCTTACCTACCTTCTGCAACTATCTCTGACTCCAAGATTGATATTATCTAGGAAATATTACCTGAATCAGACAAAAGCCAACTGATCACCTTTGAAAGTGGAGAGGGCTCCACAGAGTCTAATGTTTTACCAGAGGGAGAAAGCACTGAGAGAGTGGATGATAAAGAAGAAAAAGAAAAGTCTAAAGATTTGGACATAGACAAGGAAAAAGAAAAAGAGAATGAAAAAAAAGGGGAAAATGACAAAGAGAAACTCAGAAGTGTTGAAGGAACAAATTTGGATGCTCTATTGCAGAGGCTTCCGGGTTGTGTGAGCCGGGACCTTATAGATCAATTAACAGTGAGGATATCTTATTGAGCTCTATTACTTATATTCTTAGATTGTATTGTTATTTTTTACATCACTATTAATGATTATTTCCCTCTGGCTAAACAAATGCTAGGTAGAGTTCTGTTATCTAAATTCAAAATCAAATCGGAAAAAGCTTGTGAGGGCTTTGTTCAGTGTTCCAAGGACTTCTCTAGAGCTGCTAGCGTATTACTCACGCATGGTTGCTACACTCTCAACTTGTATGAAGGATGTCTCCTCTCTTCTATTGCAGATGTTGGAGGAGGAGTTCAACTTCTTAATAAATAAAAAGGTTAACTTTACATAAATCTTTAGAATTGGATCATTTTTTTTCCATCACTTTAAATTAGGTAATTACTTTTGTCACCTTGTTTTTGGAATGTCTTAACAGGACCAGATGAATATTGAGACAAAGATCAGGAATATCAGGTTCATTGGAGAACTTTGCAAGTTCAAAGTTGCCCCTGCTGGCCTGGTCTTCAGTTGTTTGAAGGTATAAGAGACTAATAATCAAACTACAGCTAACTCCTTTTAATTACAAAAGTCAGTAACAATTTTGCTAAATTTGCAAACTCTGTTTTGGAGCTGTCCTTATAATGTCAATAGATTTCAGTTCATCCACTACACATTTTTTGTCTAGCTTTTTAAGTTCTATTCTATTTTGGTCACAGAAGTCCTATAAGTTATACTCATGTGGAATAGGCTGTTATCCTCCATTTTACTAGTTCATAGATCAAATAGTTGTGTATGAAGAATATATCAAATAATTGTAAAATATTGAATCCTCACTTTATGTTTTTTTTAATAATTTCAGGCCTGTTTAGATGATTTTAGTCATCACAACATTGATGTAGCTTGCAACCTTCTTGAAACATGTGGTCGTTTTCTGTATCGTTCTCCAGAAACTAGTATACGCATGGGTAACATGTTGGAAATGATGCTCTTGCCGTTTATAGTGCAGTTCATACTGCACGCGAAATTGCTATAAAAGAACAAAGACCAGTTTTGATTAGTTTTTGAAGGAAAAATGATTTTGATTTTAGTTGTAATTGTTGAAAAGTTTGTATCTTGTATGTTTATGATCTCTGAGATATATACTTGTCCTATTCCTATTTAATTTTTTTAGGGTTTATGAGGTTTCTTTCATGAATTTTGTAGAATATTGTAACATTTTTTGTAATTCTCTCAAGTTGTAGCAAACCAATGTAAATATTAAAATGAAATTTGGCCTTTGATGATATTTGAATTTTTCTTGTTTATTGGTAAAATTTGCACTTCTTTTTACCTTTGATCACATTTTTTTGATATTATTGATGATTATTTGATATTAAATGTTTTTATTGTAATTAACTTTATTATGTTGAAAAGTGATAGAAAATAAAATAAAATACTATAAATAAAAAAATATTAAAGTAAATAATAATTTAAATATAATAGTAAAATATTATAGTAAAATAATATTATATTTAAAATTATTTTACTAAATAATAATTTAAATAAAAATATTATTTGAAATTTATAAATCAGATTACGACGGTTAAAACCGTCGCAATTTCTAACCTACGGCGGTAGAATAACCGTCGCAAACAACAACAAAAACAAAAAATAAAGTCAAATTCACGACGGTATATAACCGTCGCTATCTGTTGTGCGTGACAGTTTTTGCAACCGTCGCGAAATAGGCTGGGGACGCACGATTCTGCGACGGTACTTCTACCGTCGTAGATTGTAAATTGCGACGGTTTTAACCGTCGTAATCAGCCAAAATAACCGTCCCAATCTATCATTTTTCTTGTAGTGGCTCTATCAAAAATTATGGTCCATCGGGATCCTTGTTTAGGTCCGTCATATGGTCTAAGTTCTTCATAATTGTTTACCATCATAATTCCTTCGTCTGGGAACTCAAAATTCATGGACTGATAGCAATCCATAGCCTGATGAGCAAGGTGATCAGCTAGTATACTTCCCTTTATTACTTTCTGGGTCGTGTATTGAATGTCGTATTCAGTCATGATCATCTGCCATCTTGCTATCCTTCCCGAGAGGGCGGGCTTCTCGAATATGTATTTAACTTGATCCATCTTGGATATCAATAAGGTAGTATGGGTCAACATATATTGTCTTAGTCGGCGAGCAGCCCATGCCAGAGCGCAACAAGTTTTCTCGAGCAGTGAATATCTGGTTTCACAGTCGGTAAACTTTTTGCTCAGGTAGTATATTGCATTCTCTTTTCGTCCAAACTCGTCATGATGCCCCAACACACACCCCATTGAATTTTCTAAGACAGTTAGATACATGTTCAGAGGTCTTCCCTCAACTGGTGGCATCAAAATGGGAGGCTCTTGAAGGTACCCTTTGATCTTATCGAAAGCAGCCTGGCAATCATCGTTCCATTCCAACACTTGATCTTTCTTCAGTAATTTGAAGATTGGTTCACAAGTAACGGTTAGATGGGAAATAAACCGGATGATATAATTTAACCGTCCTAAGAACCCCATAACTTCCCTCTCAGTGCGAGGAGCGTACATTTCTTGTATTAATTTTACCTTTGCAGGGTCCACTTCGATACCTTTGCCACTGAAAATGAAGCCCTAGAGTTTGTCGAACCTTACTCCGAAAGTGCATTTATTTGGATTCAGCCTTAGTTTGTATCTCTTCAGTCTTTCAAACAGTTTCTGCAGATGGTCAAGGTGTTCCTCGTTGGCTTAAGATCTGGCTATCATGTCATCCACATAGACCTCTATCTCGTGATGGATCATATCGTGAAATAAAGCTACCATGGCACGTTGATAGGTTGCCCCATCATTCTTCAACCCGAATGGCATAACTTTGTAACATAATATGCCCCACTGTGTGACGAAGGTCATCTTTCCATGTCCTCAGGTGCCATTTTGATCTAGTTGTATCTGGAGAAACCGTCCATGAAGGAAAATACTTTATGTTGTGCAGTGTTGTCAACCATAATATCGATGTGGGGAAGCAGGAAGTCATCCTTGGGGCTTGCCCTATTCAAGTCTCTGTGTTCACACACATACGTACCTTACCGTCCTTTTTAAGCACTGGAACAACGTTAGCGACTCATTGTGGATAGGAGGTGACATCTAAGAATCCTGCATTGAACTGCTTCATGACTTCAGTCTTTATTTTCTCTGACATTTCTGGCCGCATGCGTCGGACCTTCTGTTTTACCGGAGGGCAGTCTTCTTTTGTCGGCAGACGATGGACCATGAATCAGTGTCGAGTCCTGGCATGTATTCATATGACCAGGAAAATACTTCAACATAGTCATGTAGTAACTGAGTTAAGCGATTTTTGACACAAAGCTCAAGGTTGGCACCTATCTTGACTTCTTTCTTATCCTCTTCAGTACCTAGGTTAACTGTTTCAACTGGCTCTTCATGGGTGTGATCGGTGGGAATGAGAACTGACTGTTTTAGAATGCTGGTTCGCGTTTGCGTTTGTTTTCGCAAAATGTAGCGGTAAGCAAGAGTCGCCACCGTCTTTTATTTTATCCAACAAGGAAAGGACAAAAGCACAGAAAATTCCTTTTCGAGATGTTTCTTGGGTTCGGGAGGTAGATTATAGAAAGGGAAGGTGTTAGCACCCTTTCTATCAGTGGTTATCCACGGGCTCTTAGGTACTTGCTAACTATGTTTTCAAAAGTTTTGCTTTTCTTTGTGTTTGTGGGTTTTGAAAAGAGTTTTGTTTTTGAAGAGAGTGTAAGTGCGAAAAGTTTTGTTTTGTTTTTAAAAGGAGCAAGTACTTAAGAACATCTACCTACTCAAAAAGGAATTAGACTGTGCAAGTGTCCTTTAGACAACGCCATCCCACTATTGAGGAGTAGGTAGCATCGTTGTTGGAGTTTTCGGGTCAATTCGATTTAAGGGACGTGTGGTCACTAAAGCAATGTTAGGACGCCTTAGTGGTAACCCTAATGTCTTAGATCATTTTTCTGAGGCAACCGTTTCGAGGCAACTTATGATCTTTGGACAAGAGGGCGACCTCTAAAACATCCTATACTCAATGACCACGTTCAAGGAAACCAAGTGAGGTGTACCCTAAGAGTGGCATGCGCGAGTGTATTGTTTTTCAGTTACATTATCTTTGTATATTTAGGTGTTCTACCGTTTGTTTTCAGATCTTGTCATACAATCCTACTTAGCATACATCTAAGCAGTTAATATATGTATAGGAATTTAAAGTGCGGGAATTGTAAATCCTACGCTATTACAAGGCTTCGGGGAGGGGGATTATTTACATGTCCAAAATTGGGGGAATAAAGCAGTAAAGTGTAAAAGTCTTAGTTAAGCTATTACAAACCAGTAGGCAATTACAATAAAATAAACGCGCGCGAATCTGAACATAACCTCTAAAAATGCTAAGAATAAAATCTTTTTTTTGTTTTATTTTATTTTGGGAAAATGATCTAAATCTTCTTAATTTTAGTTTTGAGAAAATGTTAAGATAATTAAATGATTAATTAACAAAGTTAATTTAAAAGAAAAAACTAGCCTAATGTTTTTGTGGTTTTTTTTAATTGATTTTATGTTGATTAAAAAAAAGAAATAAAATAGTCAAAACAAAGATGAAATCGAAGGAACAGGCAGTAAATCAAGAAAGGTATAATTCTGGAGGCTTGGATCGAAAGAGGTATGGGCTGTCTTTCGATCCAGTGAAGAGGCTTGATCGAATGTGCATGAGGGGCTGCACTTTGGGGGTGCTCGATTTGGATATGTCATCTTTCGATCTGGGAACCCTGGATCCGGTTCGAAGCTAAGCTTCTAAGCTTCGAAGCTCTGAACAAGATTTTGAGAAGATATTTCCTGCAAAACGAGACAAATGTTAAAGATCCAGGGTGGATTTTACCCCCCTGATTCGAATCTCCTCCCAATTTGAATCCTTCCTCAATTTGAATCTGCTGAATCTGGTTCTGGGTTTGTTTTAATTTGTCACAGCCAAGATCATGGATTTCAAATGTAACCTGCTTTGAAAGAAACTTTATCCATGGGGGGTTCAAACGTATGAACACTGCAGCTTATACACGCTTTGTTAAATCGCTCATAAGTAATAACAAAAAAACTATGAATATGCAATTATGAGTAATTTTAAGATTAAGTGAGATTGAACATTATACCACTGGAGGCGCCTGGATTTGGACGGAAGGTGCCTGCAATGGAGTCTAGACTTTCGTGGGGCAGGCTGGTGCTTTTGCGAGGCAAGGTATGTGTGGCCGTCTTCGTGGGTTTTTCCGGTTTCTGCAGAGTTTTGTGTGTCTTTCCCCTTTTTGTTCACCCCTGGCACTGTATGCTTGCCCTTGTATTTATAAGAGTATGATGGTCTAGTAACGACAAGAGACAACCAATTAAACAGGCCTTTAAAGCCATGAGACAAGAATCAGACATATTAAAAGATTTCCTTTTTTGAAATATTCATGTCTCTTTGGAATCTTGAATGAACCTGGACACCTTTGATTTTCGAATGCCTCCAGGCCATGCTCTTCGACTGGTGTTGAGTTGCCTCCTTCGAATGGACTTCTTATGTGCCCTTCGAATGGGCCTTCTGAATGATTCTTCAAATGGACCTTTTGAATGTTCTTCGGATGACCCTTTGAATGCTTCTCTTTGATAGCTTCAAAGTCCCAAATCGAATTACTCCAACTTCAATTGCATAGCCCGTTCGATTGAGCCTCCCTCTGCTTCGATTGCTTGATTCGAAAAGGATCACCCTGAATCAGCTCTTGTAGGGTTGGGAGCAAACAAGGCAAGAATCTGGCCTTTAATTCAAATAATTGAGTCCATAATCATCATTTAATTATTTCTATATTTGCAAGGGACACATGCAATTGTGAACTTTGGGTGAACCTGGATAGGTTAGGATATGTGTTTTTGCTTAGTCATGCCAGCCTACTTCATTCCTTCGAATCTGCCTTCTTTGTCAGCTTCAAAGTCCAATTCGAATCCATTTAGAACATTCCCTATTAGACAACTT